TTATTGTGGTCATGCAGTTACTCGTATGTCAGCTAGTGTCACTCGTCATATCCGAATACCAAGTCTAATATTTAATTATGTTTCTAATATGCATTAGGAGAAAACCGGTATTTTTATATTACAATTAGATAGTGTCTGTATCCACTCGCAATTGAAAATATTTGTGAAGGTGAAAGAATAAAACAATATAGTAGGTTCCTTTAATTTCTAATTTTTTTCAATATTTAATGTGTTCAAAGTATCCAATAATGTACTATTATTCCTGTTGTGCTAACATCTGACATAAAGCCAAGAGGAAGTTAAGTCGTAGGTACATATCTACGTACAGGATTATTAACGACCCGACTGGGCCCCGTTTATCGCTGCTCCCGTTCCATTTAAATACACTTGATAAGGAAAACTTTTGTTGCGAGGTAAAATCACATGCCATTATTGGCATACGCGGAATTCGGCTAATAATTAATTAATTTACATTGTACACAACTTTGATTCATCTACTAAAAGTATGAAAGCCGAATTAACATTTCGTCTAATACAGAACATTAAAATTTTAGGAATTATATATTATAATGGCATGTGAATCACGAGTGATTTCAAATCTAAAAATAAATTAATATATAATGTAAATCTTGTAACTTTTGTGGGGGCCTTTTTTTAAAGAGAAGAAGCCGTTCTCAGACGGAACAAAGGTAAATTATGGGAAAGAAAACGGATAGAACGAAGGAGCTATTTGTGACAGGGTGGGAAATTGCACTGCGTCTCCTGTCGGCACTCAGAGACGCAATCGTGGCTATGCAGGAGCCAGTAGTGTTTTCACTTGCGCAGGGGAGGGCATGCGCTGAATCGGGACCGAAGCCGGGAGGTCAGCCTTCCGCCCCTAGCGGAATGTGGAGATGACACTCTAATAATGGATACACATCTCCGCATCCTCCAGGTGAACGTGGGCAACGGTCAGGGTCTTCTTCTCCAGAGCATGGCACAGTGGTCATTCAACGACGCCGCTGTCCTCTATAAGCGCAGGCCTAATTAGGTTGTAGAATGGGAACACCGTGATTCCCACACACGAGGGGGTCACGGCACGAGAGGGGTGTACCCCTCTCGTGCCGTGACCCCCTCGTGTGTGGGCCTATAGCCTGTAGGCTATAGGTGGTCCGAGGTCCGTCGGGTCCGGGATTTCCTTCCTAGGGTACACCTGGATCCCCGGCTACTGGTACCAGTGACGGCATTGGGCTATCGACGATCCGAGTCGCTCTTCGTTGGATGTGGTCCAGAGGGAGAAGCTGGTACTGAGGTGCCCCTGCATAGAGATGAGAACAGTATTCCATATGCGGCCGGACACGACCCCGGTCAGACGCTCCCGCGGGGCAGACCTGCAGCGTATGCTGGGTACAATCCCAGTTGCTTATGCAGTGCTGGTATTGTGCCGTATCCTCACGTCCGATCCGATTCAGGTACTCCATTGAATAATCGTGCCCAGTGAGTATCTGCGTCATCGGTAGAAGACTACCTCCTGCAGTAGCACCGACAGTGATGATGTTCAGTTTCAGTGTGTCGGTGAACGTTCCGTCGTATTTTGAGCTAGTCGTGGATCTCTCCGTTTTCACCCCGTCGGATCGTACGACTCTGGTCATAGATACTCGCGACCATATATATCCACCAGGATACCAAAAGGCGGGATTCGTGCCAGGATTGTTACCGCTTCCGACGGGATGGAGCGATACGCTCGGACGATTTGAATGGCCGTTACTCACTGAGCTTAGCTTAGTAGCCGGCTTGGGAGGAGGCCGATGGGCAAATGGCCTATATCGGTGCTCCGTAGAGAGCCATAGATCGTGTGAACGCACAGTAGAGACGGCGAAAATTCTCCGTGCCCATGACATTCAAGCATTCTAAGGTAATAAGAAAAGTAAAGGTTTTGTCTAAAATATTTATCTTGAACTCGGACAAGGCAACAGAAGGTGCGAGTACAAGACCCTGTTCTAACTATTGATCTGATCGTATTATTGCTCTATCTGTAAGGGTAACATCCTTTTCCGTCCATGATTATCTCTTATAGCCTAGCCTACGTATGCCTTAGTCTTCGGATATTCGGAAGTGAATGTAGGTAATTGAAAGTAGACTATTATAAAATATATATTTTGATAACAGTTTTATGTGAATAAATAAAAGGCCTTGATATTGCACTGATCTTTTTATAATATAAAAACAATTACAGTAATCTTAAAAGTAAACACGTTGGTATCGGCATTAAAAACGTGTGCTGTTGTAACAAGGTAACCTACTTACGTAGCTTGGATAAATGCAAAACTATTTAAAACGACCCTTTATTATCTTTATAACAACTTATTGATATACTTAACTTTGGAGACATACAGAATAACAATATTTTTGGATTATCTATGGCCAAATAAGACACAGAATGTTATACTTTCTACAAGTAGACTTAAAATGAAAATATTTGTGTAACCGTTAATTAACAAAGGAAAACTACGTGGTATAAAATGTATTTTATCTTTTATATTAAAACTAGGTCTGCAAACTCACTTTACTCAAAGTCTTCCACGATTGTTCGATGTGGTAGCCAACTTTCTTGAGGTGACCATTAAGTCGTTAATGTATAAAAACTTTTTAAACTAGTACCACGTGTAATCTCAGATAGTTTTGGCAGATTGATAGTTTTGCACATACATAGATGAAATAACAATAATCAACAAATGCGAAAGCGATATACGAAGGAAGTTTGAGTTATAACAAAAAAGAGATAAATTCTCTTTATTTCTGACTGGCACGTCTTAACCAAAAAGAGTATGTACTAATAGTTTTTAAATAATTTTATTGCATTGCACACCATTTTGAGGCGTTAATTAATGAGAGTTATGTATCTACTTAAACATTTCAATACTAGTTACAACTGTGAATAGACCCCGTTAGTCTACTTATAGAAATGCACTTTATTACTAACAGTTTCAGTTTTTACATAAATAATGTAAATTTTGCATGCATAATGTACACAAGTTACATATCTAACCAAAAAATCATATTGTTTTTGTTTGATCCTATATTCCTTATAAAATTAAAACTGAAGGCATGCACTTCTCACCGAATACTTACATTCATTTATAATGTAATATATACTGTAACGAGGCTTTCTTTTGGTAAGTCCGTTACAGTTACGTATTATGCTGAAAGAACAACTTAGCTAGATATTATCCAGTTACAAGTATTCTATTTACCTGGTTTACATTTTCTAATAACAGTGACGAGTACATGCCCTAAAACTCCCTAAAATGACTCACATTCATCTGGATGATGTCAAATTACGAGGACAGCTCAAATTTGCAATTAAATAATTTGATCTAATACAATCTAAATATCAATGTATATGATTAAAATTATGTAGTCAATGATATTATAAGCAAAAAAAGATGAATAAAAGACAAATTGACCTTATTACACTTAACATCGAAACGTCACAATATGTTTACTAACTAGGCCAATTAACTCATTTTTATTTTGTAATTTGTCGATAATACATAAATCTATCTGTATCTCTTTTTACTTATAAAAACATTGTGTGAAATATGCATATCTTATGCATAATTATATATTAATTATCATTTTGGAATAAATCTGGCCAACTCTAGTGCACCAGAGCTTCATCATTTACACAAATTACATGCTTAGTTTCATACAGGGTTTTGGGGCATTAAGTATGTGTTTTTTATTTTCCTTTTGAGTATGTGCTAGTAGTAGTAATAACGACATATGCACAACATTATTTAACTAATCTGGTTGTGATATACAATTAATAATGGCAGGAATTTCTAAATACAATAGCACACCTCATCATCGGAAAAAAGCAAATGGCTATTGTTATGCTAATATGTAAGGAGAAATCACTTCTAATGCTTATCAAGTACTAAATGACAAGTCAGGAAAGTGTTGTTACTGGGCTTTTCCAGCTGTTACTCAAACAGTCATAAACGCCTTCGTAATACTGCGTATTTATCAAGCAACGAAATTAACTTACGTTTGACCATTTTGCACTACGTAATTTTTATGAACACACTTTAGTACATACATAAAAAGAAGTGTTTTGGGCTTAGGTTAAATAAGAACTCGAAAAATTTAAAAAATCAGCTCGTCCCCATTATGCCGCCTATTGAATTATAATACAAACTACATGAATTGCAGTTTTATTTACACTTTACATATTTACAACAACTCCACCTTTGGCTTTATAACGAATTTGGCTGTGAAACACCACACAAAGAACTTATTTTTGTTGCGTAGGAATAATGTTTTTTTTTTCATGACTGAAAACAATTTCCTATAGACGAATAATCCGATATTATATTATTTTTATTTTAATATAAACTTTTGGGTTCCCAAATTGTAAACAACACTATAGATATGTTTTATGTTATTAATATCGTGAACATGGACAAATTTTACCGACCAAATAGCAAGTTTTGATATGTGCTCTACAAAAATGTACATAAAGAGAACTCTAGTGTGGCACTTTATTAAATATCTTTGACGACACGTGAGTCCGGCTAGCTGGCTGTAGCGAGCCAATTAGAAATACTGAATACAACCAATTATAGAAAACGTATATAATTTGAGACACGTACTCAGTGCCGTTCAACTATTTAGTCCAATGGATTTTAACCTTTCAATGACAAGCTAAAACTCTTCTCAGATCGCTTCATTATGCAATCGAATTATTTGTTTGCTCGATTTATATAACGATGGCGCGAATAGATGGATTATTCGGATTTGAAACGTTAGAAATGTTAATTGTTAGTTTTTCAATTGTTACATAAATTAAATATAATTAGGGCACTAGCGGACACTTGCTACTCATTAATACTAAAAGATGAAACTCTATAATACAGAAATATCTACAATCTAACTTACAAGATGTAATATCAGACCGTTAATAATATCAGCACGTAGTCGCCGAAGGGAAGGCACGGTGTGAGTGACGATGAGGGTCTTTACCCGAGACCAACGTCCAAGCACATCATGACCACGAAGCCGATAATGCAGCCCCAGGTAGCAAGTTTGCCGTTACCGCTATAGACAAAAAAAATACCTTCAGTTACATGACAAATAAAACAGATTTAATGTCCGGATGATAATAATGCCATAGATGTTCATAACATAGCACTAGCGCCAGCACATTTCCCAATGACGCTTGTCACTAGCAGGTTTTGATGTATGGCATCACAAAATAATAGTAGTATGGTTATAATTGGCAATAGTGGAACGGCTTTGATTAGAGAAAGGCATCTAGTATGTCCGACCTTTGGAAGTACCACTAACTACAGCAACTGTGAAGGATATCTTTCTTTGTCTGCATACTGAAATATTATTATATCTATACTAATATTATAAAGCTGAAGAGTTTGTTTGTTTGTTTGTTTGTTTGTTTGTTTGAACGCGCTAATCTCAGGAACTACTGGTCCGATTTGAAAAATTCTTTCAGTGTTAGATAGCCCATTTATCGAGGAAGGCTATAGGCTATATATCATCACGCTAAGACCAATAGGAGCGGAGCACCAATGAAGAATGTTTCAAAAACGGAGAAAATTTATTACTATTGAGAGACGCAGACGAAGTTGCGCGGGTCAGCTAGTTATTAATATTATTCTGCCATGCCATGTTTTAAAGTGACAATCGCAACATGAGGTTCAACAATGTCCTATGTACTCTTAACTCTTACTCCTATGTAACTCCATAGATTGAACGAATGTGATTCGCTATTATTTACAGGCCAAATTATGCGTTGACTATTAGTGCTCAAGAAAGCTTAAAGGAACCACTGTTTAAGTGTTAACAAGACGTGAAGGAACGAAGCTGTTTGTTTTGACAGCCGGAAACTTATTTTACGATATAAACGGACACATCATAGACACATTAAAATGTATGTCTCGTATTAAGGAGCCAGTAATACGTTTACTGACGCACTTTGCTTGTGATATACATAATGGTATGTACATAATAACATATAGGGGTCCGTTATAAAATGCTGTCGTCATACAATGCTAGCCATTGAGAAATAACGAGTAGACGACATTTGAATATCAAATAGGTAGCAAAATTACGATATCGGAAAGGCCGGCCGATGGCGCTTGCGTCTCACGCACTCGAGTTTAGAGAAACCGGGCCGTCCGGAATACACTTACTGGAATTACGGCCATTACATTAAAACGATTCTTAGTACTTAGTACGAAACCTACTGGCGTTACGTTCCACACATACACAATTTTATTGAAAAATTGAATAGTTTCTTTTAAAGCATCATGGCACAGCTGATTAGTAATCTAAAAGCGAATAATGTTATACATGACTAACTTTAATATTCACAAGTTTCTTAAGTATCACGGAATATAAATTTCTCAATAGAAATGAATTGATTTAGTAAGAAACAGAGGTACCTGTTAAATGCTAAACATAGTAGGTATACGTGATGTAACTTTGTCGACGTAACTCAATATATTTAATGATCTCTAAACCTGGATGTATTTGATGAACATTCTAATTTAATCTGCCGCAATTTACACCAAAAACTATAGAAGTGCTATGATCGTTTTCAATACATTAATTTTGATACATATACCCGTTAAATATTTAACTTGCAAGCAGCTAGTTTTACGGCGAATGTTTCTGCAGCCAGGTCTGAAAATACAGAATTTGTACAATCGTCATTTGGAAGAGTATACTTTGACATCCGGCTCGTGAAGAGGTGAAGCGTCGGAGTACGCCATGTTAACGAGTATGACAGCAAGTAAATATTCCGATCACGTGTCGTGGGGAACCCCAGCTGGGCACACGACATGCACCTAAATACCATTGATGACATCACGCTTAAATATGGTACTATTTGAACACATGCATACAAAGCAATGGAAAATCTGATTATAAAGTTGATTATAACACTGTTTGGTGAATATTAACGTCATAGGAAGATGAATGTCGAATCTGACATACTGGATAGTACAGTGAGTTTTTTGTTTGTAAGACTCTAAGAAGAATATAAATTTATTTATGATATGACCATAAGAAACAAGCATGTTGGTTTGTTTGGTTAACATATCAATCTGTGCAATAGAGAGATGATATGTATTAATGTATCAAATAAATCTTTGTAGACATGTGCTGTATCTCCATATGTCACTCAGTGGTACTTGGTATAGGGGACACCGATGATTGATTCCAACTGCTTCTTTGCATGAACAATTTATATTCGCAACTTGCAATTTTATTATAAACGGTAAAGATAAGCAGAAAAAACAGACTCTTATTGGCCTCTTAACACTTGAACATCAGTATCCTTTGTATACCTGAAGGTAAGTCAGGGAGTGTCGACCAGCAGAACATAGATTCCGAGACATTGACGTCAACCTAAAGAGAAACTAGAGCGTCGTCACCGACTTTATCCCAGCAACAAACGCATTTATTCTTATATTTATTGTTATCGATAGTGGCAAGAGGGTGACAAAAAAAACGCACCGAAGTTACTTTATAAGGCTGAAGCTGTAGCGCGCCCGCCCCTTACGAGGTGCTTCGCCCATCCGGCGCCATACACCCCACCATGAGAATACATCTCAAATACACCTCAATCGTCATTTCCACATTTACCTGTCTTATGCGCAATTCCTTGCGACGGCGACGTTTAAATCAGAAACTCAAGATATACACCTATATCAAATTTACATTACGCTAGCAAAGGAAAATACTTTCTTTTTACTATTTATCTAACAACACAGGTATATAATATATATTAAGTGAATAGTGAATATAATAGTCTACTCTCGAATAATAATAATAATCTTCGTAAAGTGATTGTTAAGCAAGTATAAATGTCAAATTCTACATGCAAAATATTATGCGCAGAGAACATCAACAATCAGTGCAAAGATATAAAAGCAAACGATTTCGTTATTTTACTTTTACTAAAACGGTTAGAAGATTTAAATGTAAAAGAAAGAGTCGCATATAGTCGGGTAGGGAAGAAAGATACAAATATAGTAACAGCACTTTCAATGACAACAGTGTATGGAAACGATTAATGTTTGGTCTAAAATGGTCATTCTTAGATTATGTATTTTGTGGCTACTTTATTTGAAATAGTACATGCCTGCAGTGACCCACCACCAAATCGTTTAAATGTTATGCTAATTATAGTCGTATCCTTGTAACGATGTGTTCAAAAACAAAGTAGCATTCTGACATTTTTGGTAAAACGGAAGTGTTTTCTTAATGAAGTAACTCAAGTGTTAATAGAAATACAGAAAACAGCAGATAAACTGCAGGTAGGGCACCCCCCTCCTTCTGCGAGCAAGTTATGCTCGCGAAGGAGACGGCGGAGCGGGACCGGGAGAGGTTTAGAACTCTCCCGGCCCGCCAGGCCCGGGCACGGGCCAGGCAGCGCAGGCGACTCAGGCGCCGGAGGTCGCAGAACGACCTTCGTCCTCCATAAGCGCAGGCCTGGGGGTGACAGGTGAGGCCATCTATCACCCTAGCAGAAGCAGGCCGGGGTGGCGGCGAGCGCGTTGCGAAGCGCGCTCGCTTCCAGGGAGCACAGGGAACATGGGGTTCCCACACGGGGCGGGGGTCGTCTACTCGTCTGTAGATGACCCGAGGTATGTCGGGGCACCAGGGCCTTCCTTTCTAGGGTATACCTGGTTCCCCGGCTATTAGTACCCGGCGAAGGCGTGCGGTTTTAGTCGGTTCGAGTCCGACATGCCACCGACAGGTGGTATCCGAGGGGATTTCCGCACGGAAAAAAAAAAAAAAAAAAAAAAAAAAAGGTAGGACACCCCCATCTGTACGAAATGTTTAATTTGACGGGCCTGTTGGTTTAGCAGTTAGTGGCCCTGATTGCTAAGCCGGAAGTCGTGGGTTCCAATCTCACCCAGGACAAATATTGTGTGAGCACGGTCATTTGTTCTATGTCTGGTTTTAATTTGTCTATAATATGTATGTATTTAAAATATATATAAGTATGCTTCTCAGTCGTCTGGTTACCATAATACAGGCTCTGCCTAGTGTGGGATCAAACAGCCGTGTGTGAGATGTGTAAGGTTATTATTATTATTATAACTGTCAACCGTGGGGCAGGGGGGAGGGGGGGGGGGCGAACGGAGAGCAAAGGGTGACCTGATGGTAAGTGACTACCGCCGGACATAGACACTTGTGCGTTGACACAAGTGCGTTGCCGTTCTTTTCAGTGCCCCCAACCCCAGAAGAGGGGAGGGGTCTTGGCTTTCGGAAACCTCACATCGTTAAAAGCAAAGAAGGTATTACATAATACAGGTTTTTTATAAGGACAGTTCAACTTAAATCGCTTTCTGTTACACAAAAAGTACTTAAGAGTACCTAGACATGCTTTGCGATATAGTGGCGGTAGGTGACCGATAAATTGTATCAAGAACTAGCGCAAATTTACCATCTAATTAGACCTTTATCTCGATTTTAGGTTGTCATCGAAGTCTAGATTAATCGCTTCATGCGGCAAACTCAAATGTATTTTTCGAGAGCGTATGATATAACCAATAATTATGTCAAATACAAAAAGTGCAACAATGTTGAAAAGGATCAATCGAAGTATCTTGCAACCTGTAAACTGGGGCATTATAATAGAATACATGTTGCATTAATTTATTTTCGACGAGTCTTAAGTTAAATGGTGGCTTATGTTAGGTAGTTCGCACATTCTAGAATGACAAGAAGGCCATGTAGGATTTTGGTGCAATATCCGAAATACCTCACTCACATTGATGGTGACTGGATTAGTAACGTGAAAAAAGACATTAAGAAAACTTGTTGCTCTCAACTTTGTTGCTCACGTACATTCGTGTTTTCGTTACCAGACTCAAGATCTGATTTAATTTTATTATGTGGTATAACAAATATTGTGGTCAGTATGTAATAAATGTGTTGCTGATGTAGTGTCGCGACGTCGCGTCCGGGGTGTTAGACGGCGCGCCGCTATTTCGGGCAGGGTATTTGCGTCCCGACTCCCGCCGTCCGATGTGCGCCTACTTGCAATGTGCAAAATGCTATTGTCC